GGCTGGCATGTGGTGCTGGGGGATTGAACCGCGGTCCCTGGGCTTTGCTAAGCTTATTCCAAGTAGGTGCTTTAGACCACTGAGCCATCTCACCAGCCCCATTAAATTTTGAGACAGGATCTCATTGAGTTGCCCAGGTTGAGCCAGAACCTGTGGAGGTCTTTTCTCAGCCTCCTAGAGTGGGGGGATCACAGGTGTGCACCACTGTGCCCAGCTGAGATTTCTCCTTCAGCTACTTTTTTCTCATAGAGACAGGCAAGATCTGATCCCTGTAGACCTATAGCCCTTGATCTGGCCTGTTTTCTAAGCTACACTGCAGGAGCCCTCCAGCCTGCCTGGTCCCCTCCTTTCCAGTCATATTTTCTGTCCCGATGCCCTCCATACTTGTGTCACCAATTCCAATTTCTGGGCCATTTTCTGTGGAAGAATCAGAGTTGGGCTCTCAGCCCCTGCCACCATCCACAGCACTTCCTGAAGTTGATCCCCAGCCTCTTTCCCATGGCATTGTCTAGTGGCAACGTGGCAGGAAAGTTACCCAGACGTGTAACAGGCATTCTCTACACTCATGCCCATATGTCAATCCCACATGACTACTCATGAGCTTCTGTGACGTGGTAGGCAGGGAGGTGCATTCTGCCATGGAGTGGAGCCACAAGCAGCTCTGTGCCTCAGAAAGTACAGTGCATTGTCCTGTTGGGGACAAAGAACTGGAGGCTTCAGACCCAGGAAGGTGCGCAAGGTCCTGAGTTTGATTTCTGGTACCAAAAAAAGTAGTCGAGGCTTCAGAGTCACAGTCGCACATCTGCCTTCCAGGCTCCCAGCAGGTGTATCTGTGCACTCTCTAGCACTCAGACTTGCTGCTCACTAACTTGACTAGGGGAGGGGAGATTTATTTTGGCTCAACAGTTTTAGCGGGTCAAGCCCATGGTTGGCTGCACAGCATAGCCAGCATTAGTGGGAGGACAGTGTGCACACCCTCCTGGCTCTCGATTGGCCCCGCCCCCCCAACAGCACTCCACTGTGCATTCGTCCATGATCCAGTCACTTTCCAGAAACCCCACTGTGAAGTTTTGGGGACATTTTAGATCTACACCACTACACCCTGCCAAATAACAGAAAACTTTGTAGAAATGCAAGCTAGCCGGCAGTGCCGGCACACACCTGTAATTCAAACTGCTCAGGAGGCTGAGGTAGGAGGATTACAGGTTCAAGCCTTGCCTGGATAATTTAACAAAACCCTGTTTCAAAATTATAATAGTATGAACAGCTGAGAATAGCTCAGTACTATCTGGGTTCCATCTATATAGCTCTCCAGAAGGTACAAAACAGCATATGTTAAAATGTGGACCCTGTCATTCGGGTGTGGGTTGGTAGTACTCATTTGCAATCCCAGCATTGAGGAGGCCGAGGCAGGAGGGTTGGGTGTTTTTCGAGGCCAGTCTGGCCTGGACTACATTGCAAGGCCTTGTCTCAAAGAGGGGGAGAGGCAGTGTTTATGTTGGGTGCTGGGCTGCTTGGCTGTTTCCTCCTCTCTCATTTCTTTTCTGCGAGGTGGGTGTTGTGCCCTCAGCCAAGGGCCTGAAGAGACTCCCACCTAACAAAGGTCAGGCTGGGGGTTTCCTTCTCCTGTAGCCCTCCTGGCTCTGCTGGCTCTGGAATGGTAACTGCAGCTGCACATTTGACCCTGTGACCTGCTCTCCTGCCGAGCCAAACTCCTTCACATACAGGTGGTGGGCAGAAGGGAGCCACAGAACGGCACACGGCTGGTGCACGTGGTGTACTGCCTGGCAGCACTTGCGCCCCTTTGAGGCTTACGGGATGCCCATGGTCACTGGCTTGGCCTCTCACTCAACAGGCCATTGAGAAGTTGGTTGCTCTTCTCAACACCTTGGACAGGTGGATTGATGAAATCCCCCCAGTGGACCAGCCCTCTCGCTTCGGGAACAAGGCCTTCAGGACCTGGTATGCCAGGTTGCACGAGGTGAGGCCTCTGCAGTGGGGCCCGGGCGGGGCGCAGCACGGAGAACTGCCTGTAGTTACACACTCCTTGCATGAGTCCTTTTTATTTTTTGTTGTTCTGTGTTGGTAGTGCTGGGGATGGAACTCAGGCCTCTTGCAGGCTAAACAAGTGCTCTACACTGGACTGCAAGGCTGCTTAGTAAGTTATTACATTAGCAGCATATGGAAGGCTCACTGAAAGACACCTGCATGCAGCTGTACAAAGCAGGGAAGCTTGGGGCTGTCGAGGTAGCTCAGTGACTAAGCCTTAGGCAAATGCGTGGACCAGGGTTCGATCCCCAGCACCACATGCCCCACTAGCCCCGTGCCAGGATAGGCTGAGCCAGATTGGCTGTTGTGGTATATGCGTGTGATTCCAGCACTGAGGAGGCTGAAAACAGGAGGATCATTATGAGTCTGAGCTGCATAGTGAGACCCTGTAACAACAAATATGTTTAAAAAAAAAAAGCTGTACCAAGCTCACTGCTAAGGCTGCAGAGGAGCCTCGTGCAGTACTGCACATGGTGCGTCCCCTAGTGGTGAGAAAGCAAGGTGAGCGTATGCCTATCAGGGAGTTCCTTCAGAAATGGCTGGTCTATTACCAGTGGAAAGGATTCTGGGTCCTTTTTGCCTCTAACAAAGAACTGGATGAGACAAGACAAAAATGGTGCCAAACGTTTATTTAAAAAGTGAGGAAGAGCTCAGTAGAATAAGCGCTTTCCTAGCAAGCACAAGGGCCTGAGTTCAATCCTCGGTTCTGCCGAAAAAAAAGGGGGTGGGGTGGGGGCTGGGGAGATACCTTAGCAGTCCATGTCTGAGGACCTGGGTTCCACATGCTGTACAGACCCTGGAACCCTGGGTGCTGATCACCGAAACTAGGTGTGGTGGCGCACGCCCCTAATCCTAGTACTAGGCAGGCTGCGACAGACAGGAGCATCACTATGA